TCCCTGTGTGGAAGGAGTTCCTGGACCAGAGCTGCCGTCACACAGCTCACCTTATTCCCAATAAGAACAACTTCTTACTCCTAAATCTCTCCTGACCTTATTACATTTTAAATTTACTTATAGGCTTCAAAATCATCCGAAGGGTCTCCATTGGACCACTGGAGTTTTGAAGGGATGAATTGTATTGTAATGGCCTTATTCTGGTTCCAATCTCCAGCTTTGTATCAGAACGCTGGTTGCCACAAACTATCCACAGGTTGTGATACGATATTTGAATGAATTGGTGGATTTCTGTAATTCATGGAACTGTAAAGTTTTAGCACACAGAGAAGGGGCTGGGGGCGTCTGGGAGCCTCAGGTTGCTTGGTGCCCCCGTGGGTGTCCCAGCCTCCTTCCCTGACCCACCGCACTGCCCCCTAGAGGAAAGAGGCGCAGCGCTGTGCCCGGAATCTCCTCGAGGCAAAGCCGAGCTTCCCTGCTGAGATGAGCTCTGTTTGCAGAGACCGGCGGAAGTCCTTAGGTCCTCGAGTTCCCATTCCACATCGAATGGGCCCTGGAATCTGGAACCCACACCGTGGGGTGACACACGCAGCCTCACTTCTCAGCCGCACTTAGAAAGCAAACAGACAGGCCGGGTAGCTTGGTTGGTTGCAGCATCATCCTAATACAGCAAGGTTGCAGGTTTGATCCCCAGTCAGGGCACATGTAAGAGACAACTGATGAAGGCATAAATAAGTGAAACAATAAATCACTGTTTATCTCCTTCTCTCTCAAATCAATACATACAGAAAAACAAAAAAGCAGACAAGCAACCAAGCTCCCATGGCGAATTGTGGAATATGAGTTTCATTTGCAATGTTACGTCTGTAGATAAATACATCCAAGTTCTGAATAGTCTCCTATAACACAGTCTTTTGGTAAACAGAGAAGCACCTAAATGACAAAACTAAAAAAAAAAAGTGAATGTTATAGAGATAGAAACCAGTCTTCTCCCCCTGAAGTATTTAAGAAGAATGTATGACCCAAGTCCTATACTAGAGTTCATGTTTCTTGTCTCCTAGAAGTTTCTATCTTCCTTGCTGTTAGAAATTATCTGGTAACTTGAGAAAAATGTGCGTTTAAAAAGATGACTCCCTGAATTAATTTTTTGAAAAGCGTTCCTCCCAGGTTCCCAACTGATGTCCAGTCGGCCGACGTGCTGGCACACGGTCTGCGTGCCGGTGTCTGTCCGGTGCAGCGTGCACCCCGCGCCGCCACGCCGTCTCCGGGCCTCTGAGGGAGCTGGTTGGGCTGTTTCCAGGGATCCTCCCAGCCCCTCCCTCCCCGCATTCAGACGAAGCTTCGCTCTCCGATTTACTGTCTCTCTCCGTCTTTTTCCAAAACCAGGTTTGAATTAATTGGTCCCCAGCGTCATCCTTAGTTGAATCGGTTCCCGGCATCAGAACGTCCGCCGCAGACCCAGGACACCGATGCTTCCTGCTTGCGGCCCCTGTTTCCATAAGCACAGGGAGCCTGCAGAGACCCCGTCAGCTGCTGGAGTGACAGGCGCAGGGTCTCCAACCCGACTGCAACTTGGATCCGTGCTGCTGCTGCGCCCACCTCCGTGTGTTTACTCCTGAGCCATGACGTCACGCCGCCCGCTGCGGCCGCAGATCGGAGCCGTGATTCCAGGCCCCTTCGCTCGCCTCCTCCCTGGGAATGCGCTGTCTTCCAGCCGGCCACCGGCGGGCCCATTCTGGGGGCTGGTCTTTTTGACACCGTCACAGGCCATCTTATGAAGAGAACCGTTCTGTGGCCTACTACACACAATAAACGATGCACAAAACATTACAATCAGGGAGAATGAGAAAACCACCGCAAACATTCTGCCTTCCTCCTTGGTAATGACACACAACATACAGCGTCTTCAGCCACTTTAACGAGGACGCCTGTGATTTTCCAGGCTGTGCACTGAACTAATTGCCTTGTAGAACTTTTGTTGTGTTTGGGAAAATGGAAGACTTCTCCCTTACACATGTTTAATAAATCAAGGTGCAGTAAAGTAAATCTTTCGTGTCCTGCTGGGTTGCTCCTCTGGCCGGAGCGCAGTCCCGCACAGCCAAGGGCTGCAGGTTCAAGCCTAAGCAAGTGGTCAGGGCAGGTGACCGAGCCGTGGGTTTGATGCCCGGTTGGGGTGTGTGTACAGGAGGCAACCAATCGCTGTTTCTCTCTCGCATCCATGTCCCCCTCACTCTCTCTCTAAAGATCAATAAAAACCTCAGGGGACAATTAAAAAATTTTTTTTGCATGGGCAGGATTTTAGCAGGAGGATGGTCTTCCAAAGACGCCCCTGGAGTGTGGAGGAAGGTAACCAGAACCACAGCGCTCAGTGAGAGGTGACTCGTGTGGCCAGCATAGGAGGAGCTCCCGACTGCTTCTAGAAGTTTCCAAATCAGCACACGTGGCTGAATCAGTAGCATCTGAGGTAATGAGCAATTCTTCCTATCAGAGGAATGCCTCCTCGTGACTCTAGGGTCCCTGTGCCACTTACTCCAATAACTGTCCCTTCGGTAAGATCCACAAGTAATCCTGGTAAAGTCAATGTAACTTTATCATTTACCAATTGTTTGTATACCTTTTAATACTTAGTAAAAGGCACACAGCTAATATATTTCAATGCCTATAATATAGCACACATTTCATCTTTAATTGACATCTCTAAAGTTTTTTGTCCATAACTGAATTTGAAAAGTTTAAATTGAAAGCTGGAGAAATTTATTAAGTTTCTTAAAAATCACAATCGTGTTGCTATTCTGGTTTCAACATTTTTCTTGAAGGTGCAATTTTGTCCCTCGTGTACTGTGATGACCGAGTCCGAATCACTGTTCAGATCCCAAAGCTCTGATACAAACTGAACTCAGAGTTAGACCTGCAGAGTAGCAGGAACATTAAAATTCTTCCTAAGTCTCTGCTGATAAAATAAGTTGGTTTGGAGGCGTGAGAAGGAAAAACCTGGGTGCTGACGCCTGATTGTACCGATAAGCACTCAGAATACGTAAGAGAGATAAAGCACCCAGGTAGCAACCCAGAGTCAGACGGGCCGTGGGGTGGAGTCAGACGCCCCTCCTGCCCCACGAGTGGGGCTCTGCAGTGTGAGAAGCTGCCCCAGGTCTGAGCGGTGGGAGACGGACTGCTGTCCGTTCTGTCCGTTCGCTCCTCCTGACTCATCGGTTCCGTGCACTGCAGTGTCCCTCCCGCCCACGGGTGTCACGGGAGGCTGCGCCTTGCGCAAGGAAAGCCGCCCCTTAATACCGTGCCTCCAGATTAGGAGGACCTGGGCTGCTGGCCCCCATTTTCGTGGAGATACGCCTGTGAAATGCCAACGTTTTCTGAGTCATCCCGATGTCGGAAAAAGCGCAAACTCGCCACCGTGGAAGCCTGTGCTCACGTTTCACAGCCGCTGCCGGCTGCTTTTCCTCAGTGTTTCCCAGTCCGTGAGCATCGCCTTAGAAAATTTCCCACTGTGCCCTCTGAAATCTCTTTTAAATTATTAAACGAATGAAAATCCCGCGGTCCCTGACATCGATCACGCCCTCCTCTGACCGCAGCTCCCCGAACCCTCGGGGCTGCAGCCTCTCTCCCCAGGGCCCCGCCCACACCTTGGGGCCAGGAGGGCAGGGCATGCCCCGCCCCGTGGGCACTTCTCTCCTATGGCGCCCGAGCCTCATTCAGCCGCGCACCCTCCTGTGAGACACGCCCCCCGTCCCCCGTTCTACTGCTGTCATCGTGGGACCCGAGGATGGTAGCGTTCGGCCCACCAGCTTTGTTTGTCTTGTGATAGGAGTGATGGGATGAGACACGGTTCCCTTTGGCCTTAGACCTGCTTCCCTGGGAAGTCCCCGCGTGCTCCTCATCGGTTCGGTCCCCAGTCCCGCGGCCGCGGTGACGGGCTCCCGCCCCGCCAGCCCTCCCCGGTGTGGACTTGCGCCCACGCGTTTGCTCCCTTCCCTCAGCAGTGCTGACCTGGCGGCCACCCCCGTGTGTCAGACACTGCTGTGGCCCCGGGGGGACAGGGGTACACACATGTTCCATAGGCCCTGCCGCCTCGCTGTGTGGTGCCGTCACACTTGCCTGATGTGTCTACGCACTGACAACACTCAACACCGACTGTCTCCTTTACTGGGTGGGGTGTTGGGTCCTCTTGTCTTCTCCTGAAGACAAGACCCCCACACCCGTGGCACCGACTGGTTTCCCCTCACGGCTGCATCCTGCTCTTGCTGACTCTCCTTCTCCAAACAGCCCGCAGAGTCTGCCTCTGCGAATATTCACCGGACTCGGAAGTCTGTGCACCGTGAACCCATGCGGCTGCGCTCACGCCCGGATGAGGAGAGGCCCCCATGACGGGGACTGCGCTGGACTGGACTCTGAACGGAACCTCCGCAGCGTGTGTGGGCGGAGGCCAAGTTCACCGCACCACTCACGGCCACCGTCCACGCCGCTTCACGGACCCGTGGGGACCCTACGTCGTCCCTCCCACGTCTGTGATAGCCCGCCCACCCCACTCTCCTACGCCTTTTCCTGATCATTTCACACGGCTCTACTTCTACCCCATCTCCTTGGAAAACAAACACAGAAAGAAGATTTAAATATCCACTCTTCTCTAATTTTGTGAGGGCAACTCATGTCTCCCCCTCCCCCCTTCCCCCTTCCTTCTTCCCTCTTCATTCTCTATCATTTTAAATTAAAATATCCATCCTTCTTGCATATCCTCAGGGCAATTTATTTTCTGTCCCTTCCTTGCAAATCCTTGACGGGGCATCTCCCCGTGTGCCTGCACCCCTCAAGCCGTCCAAGGCCCAGGACCTGGGTCCTTCTTAACACTGAGGATTTGCGTTTCAGTGCCGGTCCTGAGCCAAGGAGCCCCTGACATTGGACTAAGACGCCGCGCCATCGGGGCCAGAGACAGCCTGTGGGGAGGGACAGTGTGGCCACCCCGGAGCCAACCAAGGGCTTGTACTCACATTTGAGCTCGAGTTTGATGAAGTCCGTGTTCCCCAGGTTTTCCAGGAACACGCCCCGAGGGATCAGCGTCTTGAAGTAGAAAGAAATGTCAGCGCTGGTCTCCCCTTGGAAGGTCGAGAAGTGCAGGTAGGAGGAGGGGTTGGGGAAAGAGGCCGCGTTCCAATAGTTCCCTGCGGGAAGAGAGGAGAAACACTGGGTTGGCGACCCCTGGCTCGTGGCAGTGAGGTGAACGATGACCACTGCTTGGGTTTTCACATCTAGGTTTTCACGGGCAACGTCCCTGCTTCCTTTCCTCCTGCTGAACAATGATGCCTGGAGCCCCACCAGTGATCTGTGTGCATGCACAGGAAATACTTTACTAGAGGTCAAGAGCCACCGCTCCTGCCCAGAGTAGTCTGGGGACCGTGGGGAGCAGATGGATGCCCACAGAGCAGAAAGTGGGGAGCGGCCCCGCTGTGTGGCGGGTGGGGGCTGGCAGCCCTGGGGGTCGGAACGGGACCCAGGTTTCTGCTGTTCCACCCCTGCTCCTCATCCGCCTTTGCCTGGGAATCACCTGTCCGCGGTGCTCAGCAGTGGGGCGCAGGAAGCAAACAGCTGGGGGAGTGCTCCCCCCCCCCGAACTCCCCGGGACACGCTGCCCTGTGCGGGGTGGGGAGTGCTGAGCTGAGCCCACTGGGGGCTCTCCGTCAGCCTGCACCCTGAGCTCGCGGAGAAGACAGGATGCGCCCGCCCCCTCCCCGCTCGCTGCCTGAGAGGACCCGAGTCTCCAGTGGGAAGGCGGCTCAGAGGACAAAGTAAAAACACCACATTGGATGACGCATGGCCCACTGGGGCAGACGGACTGAGAGCTGAGTGTAAGACCTTTCTCCTCGTGCTCACGCTCAACTGCATCACCAGAGGAGAAATTCCTCATTCATTTGTATTTATTTACGCGTGTGTGTGTGTGTGTGTATCCACTGAGTCCAGAGAGAGAGAGAAAGGGAGACAGAAAGAAACAGAGAAACACTGACAGACACGTGTCCCCCAAACATGCCCGACAGGAGACTGAACCTGCAACCCAAGCCTCTGTCCTGACGGGGAACTGAACCCGCGACCTTTCCATTTACAGGGCGACACTCCGACCAACGGAGCCACACTGGCCAGGGCAGAAAATCCTTCTGAATATATACGTTTCTGAATACGCTTATTATCACAGCTAGAGACTAAAATACATAAGCGTGTGCTTTAAAATGTTTACTAAAGCCCTTAACTCTAATGCTAAACCTATATCACACTCACCAGTTGAGGCCAAGATGGAGTTGCTCATGCTAAGCCCTGCGTCAGCAAGCCAAACCTTAACCAGGTTTCTCCCAGGAAAGGAAGACTCGGGTCGGTCAGTTAGCCCTGGGCTGCTCCGCACCAGTGACCGGACCACCAGGCCGTCCCTCTGGTTTATGTAAGGGAGGAAACCCTGCTCCAGCCAATCAGCCAGTGCCGGGTACGGCTCCCCGCTCCTGCCACCCTGGGGCTACGGACATCCCGCCTCAAACAGCTTCTCCGAATTCCTCTCCGTCTGCTGGAGGGGACGCTGCCCAGTCTGCTAAACAGAAAGCAGACTGTTTGGGGAAAGTCTTCTTCTAACACCTGAAATATGTTTGTTTTTAAACTGAATTTTGCTGTATCTTTCCTTCCAAGATCACAATGTATTAACTGAATTCAGTCTATAAGTAAGTTTTTATATACTCAGTTTTTCCCTTTTTTACGGAAATTATGCACAGATGCAATATTCCATTCAACTACTATTCTTAAATAAAATTAACTTTGTGTTGGTACTGCTATGCTTAAGCTGTAATTTTAAGTTAAATTTAGAATATTGACATGAGATATTAAAATAACTTTATTTAACTAATGCTGTTTGTTGCTGTTCATAGAGACAAGTATGTAGAATATAGTGATATCCAGATAAGCAAATGGCAACACGTCCCCAGTAAGTCAGTGCAAACCATCTTTGTAAATGAGTCCATTAAGGTAGAGACACTGTGGTGATGGAATCCACAATTTAAGTTGTCCCCAAAATCTCCATGCTGTTTCCAGCTACCTATTTTTTTAAATGGCAATATCATAGCCCTCGGTAGGAGAATATATACTCCTTTTTTTTTCTTGGGAAGAAGAATATTATTTGACGTTGGTTAGAATAATACCTGAAAAGAAAGACTCTTAATTTCACTCTTTACATTGCTACCCTTTGGGGTCTGAGTCCTCTTTCTGGCTCAAGATCTCGCTTAATGCACAGTCCCAGTGGTTCAGGCCCTCCTTGACCAGCTGGCCGGCACCGAAGGTCTGGAAATGAAACCAAAATTGGGCTACCGGGTGCAACCCTCTCAGCTGTCAAGCTCTGGGAGAAAGTGAAGCCATGTCCATGGCTCACCAGGGGCGGGGCTCCGCTCGCCATAACTGGGGGAGGCCTTCAATCACCTGCTGACTGCCCGCCAGGGTCCCCGGCCCCAGCCGCACTGTGGCCCAACGCAGGGCAGCCCTGTCTCTTTAGGCTGCGTCCCCAGGGCAGGGATGCAATGGACACTGTCCAGTCCCCGTCCGGTCTAGCCTGCTCCTCTTTTCTGAGGCGGCGCCGTGTCAACACAAGGGTGGCTGTCTGAAGTGATTCTCCACAAAGGGGGCGAAAAGTCAAGTACGTCAGTGTTTACTGGGGCCCGGCACTGGTTACTGGACAGAACTGTCCCCAGAGGACGGGAGGACAGCGCGACCGATCAGCTCGTCTGGTTTGGCAGGTGTCCCCGCAGAGGCCAAGCCCACCGCTCTACGGCATGCTCACCGAGCGGCTCCAACGACTCGGGCGCCCCGCGTGGACCCACTGGCAGGGGGACGGCGCCAACAGTGGCTCCGGCCCTTCCGGAAGCGTCTGGGTTCTCACACGCTGTCTTTGGAGCTGCCCCTGGTGGGCCGTCCCGGAATCTGGGTGAACTCACTGCGTTCCTGAGCGGCGACGGAGGCGACTCTCCCCTGGACCTGACCGGGGGTGTCAGAGTTGAGGCGCCGCCCCAGGGGGAGGAATTCCGTTCACTCTTACTTTTGAAGGCCCGTCCTTTCGAATGCCGCTTTGGTCTTACGTGCTGACAGACACAGCGTGTGATCGGAGTGGTGCACAGGCAGAACCGGTGAGCAGTAGGCTTCTTGGGAAGTGGGCTTCAGGTTCTAATGAGCAGGGGGCAGGCCCCGGTGCCCTGCAGTGAGGCCTGTTCTGACAAGTCCGGGGCCCCGTCTCGGGTTTGGGGTTGTCACGAGGGAACACGTGTGCCTTTCCCAGGGCTCCCCGGGCCCCACGATGCCAGGAGGGTACTGCACTATTACTGTTAGTCTGTACCGCTCCCAGCGGACCGGACGCTCCCTGAAGGCCGGGAGGGAACCTTCTCCGTAACCTCTGACCCCAGAGCAAAGTTCGTACTCAGTAAATCATTACATCAGTGGGTCCGTGAACAGCTGCCTCTCTCAATTGGACGCAATTCCACTCCATATGCAAAGTTCTCAGGGAACAAGATCCACTGCACAGCGACCCGAGCACTGACGGTGGTAGTAACTGTGATGGAGCTGATGCTGCGTGAGCACCGCCCTGACGTGGCCCCCACCAGCACGCCACCCCTCTCTGATCCACGACTTCATTCTGAGGAACCCCCACAGGCTCCGTGAACGGAGCCACACGTCTGTAGTCTGATGGCCTCATCGCCTGCAGGCTACTGAAACAGCTGCCATCTGCGCTGGCTGACCATCAAGGTCAGTGCCACGGAGGGGCAGGTGACACTGGACGGGATGCCGGGGGGAAACAGGAGGCTCCTGTCCGTCGAGGACTCGCACGGTAGCAGGAGGTGGGGTGGCCAGCGGGGGCCAGTGTGGGCACTGCCAGCAGGAAGGTCCGAGCCCGGAGGGGCCGGGCAACGGCGACAACCCGGGGCAGGCAGAAGCGGCCAGGGACCTGGCCGAGGGCGGGTGACGTGGCTGGGGTGGGGCCGACGGCTCCGCGAGTTGGAGACCACTCGGGACACGTCCTGGGCCGGGCACATCTCCTGCGGCAGGAGGAGCCGGGCGGGGCCTCCGGCCACCGCGGCACGTCATCAGTGGGAAATGCCGCATCCGCTCCTCACCCAAGTTCTTCCACAGACACTTACTCCTACGGCACTGGTGCTATTCGGTGTGGGATTCTGACTTCAACATTCCCCAATGGGCAGCACTCATCTCGAGCCTGACTTTAAGTTCTAACTTAGTTTTCAAAGTCAAGTGGTGCCGGAAAGGACACAGTGACACCCAAGTCCCGCTTCCTCCCTTCCCATCCCAAACCCAACCTGGCGACAGCTCCTTCTGCACCTTTAACTTTTAAACTGATGCCTGCCCTTCTAAAACACACTTGTCTAGGTACGTACTCAATTATGCGTCTTAGATCTCCCCTGTGGGCTTTCCTGAATGCCAGATGAGGACTGAGCATTTTTACAAGCCGACCTCCCTGCTGTTTCTCTTCGCATCTTCCCCGAACAGCCAATGACAGATTTCTGGTTATACTGACATCCACCGCATTCTAATTCCCAAACCTCCTGGGGTCCTGCGGTTCGTGTCTCACCGGCCTGTCAACAGCCTGCACTTACTGATTTTCTTGTTCACAAGGAGCAACTGAACACGGGACACGCTGGAGTCCTCTCTGTGACGGTCACGTTGGCCAGGGTGGGGACCATGGGGACGTGTTGCTGGGAGGACGGTGGGGACGGCGGCAGCAGGTGAGCTCACGGGTGCTCGGGCTGGCCTGTCACTCGGAGGAGCCGCAGTGCCGTGGTCCTCGTGCTGGCCGCGGAATCAGATGGTCTGGCCCCATCACCCCCACCCCCTGGTGTACAAATCGCCCCTCCCTCATTTGTACAGCGAAACAACAAGCGAAACTCTTTCACAGGGTTTGAGAATCACAGCAGACGATGCTGGGCCCTGAACAACCATTCCACCTACGCTGCTAATCACTTCTACGCCCACGGCTTCAGTGTCACCTACAGTCACTGTCCAGGGCCCAGCCAGGGGGAGTGAGGCTGGGAAACTGGGGCCCCTCCCTTTGCCAGGTGAAGAGCAAGTCGTCCACCCGAGGCCTCTCCTGCGCCCACCTGACCCGCAGGCGAGTTTTCCAGGGGGACACGCCGGC